TGAGCGACGCCACATCACAACTATGATACAGTCTGGTCCGGTCACTTAAGTGATGCTGTATTGCAGCTATGAGGTCAGGAGCAGGTGCCTGTTCTGCACCTAATTGCAGGTACATGGCTGCTTGTTCTGGCTGCTCGGATGACACTGCAATGCAGCTGTGGGGCTGCCTGGACCGGTGATGTTCGGCTGTATGAGCAGCGCTACGCTGCAGCTACGAGGCCACATGAGCCGGTCACCTGTTCTACACTACAGTGACGCTACATCGCTGCTATGATGCAGTCTGGTCCGGTCACTTGAGTGACGCTGTATTGCAGCTATGAGGCCAGGACCAGTCGCCTGTTCTGCACTTGATTGCAGGTACGTGGAAATTTCGTTTGGGTGACGCTGCATTGCAGCTATGAGGCTGCGTGGACCGGTGGTGTTCGCCTGTGGGAAAACGCTACCCCTTTGCGGCAAAGGACGCTTCCAGCCTTCCAGGCTTCCTATGCTGGCTGTCTGTGTGACGCTACACTGTAGTTGCAGGGCCCCCAGGCAGAGTGAGACCTTCCTCCGCAGCTAAAGTCTCTTTCCAGGCTAGCTAAGTGAATCTCTACCATGGTCTGAGGTGACTTAGGTCAAAATTTGTTCTTACACAGATGCTCATAAATCAAAACTCTGTTTGCCTTTAAAACAGAAGGAATGCATGCAAGCATTGTGCTGGCACTGTAAAGCCCTGCTATAGCTAATGGCAACAGCATTTAAGAAGCTAAGTAGACAACTCAATCAATTTGTGTTATAAGGCTAACCAATGTATTACTTGGATACCCTCTCAGCTCAGCATATTTCCTTCCACAACCACATTCTCAAGCCAAGACTTTCTCATTCCATGTCCTTGGGTCTCTTATGAAACGCTCATGCTCCTCTCACCCTCCTGCTGTGGTCTGGAAGAAGGGAAAGAAGAACTCCTCTTTCTCTCCATGGTGCCTCTTTCCTTAAGCTTCAGGAAAGCCATGGTTTTTGCTCCGTGGTGCTGCAGACAGTCGTGTAGGTGGTGGTGATGTGGGGAGCGGGGGGCAGGTCAAGCTCTGCAAGGCTTTAGTTGCTTTTTGCTGAGCGCTGCAAATTATGCTGTCTCCCAGGCTTCCAAAAGCCTGGCCTGCTCCAGGGCCAAAGAATGTAGGTCCACTCATCCACCTCCTTGTGTGGCCTCATGGAGTGTATGCCTGATATGCGAAGGATGTTTCTGATCACTTTTTAATGGACTTGCAACAAGCAAACTTAATCATGCTACTGTTCCTATAACGAATCCAGTTTAGAGCTTTTATGAGATCTCATTTGAATAACCTTGGGTGAAAGGCCAAGTTCCTTTGTTAGTGACTAAGGTCAGTCAAAAGCGAAAGAAAACCTGATGATTTCTGCCAAATGAAAAATACGTATCTATAATTTTTAGTCTGCCTGTTGATTTTAAACTCTGCAAGCATTGCAGCAATGCTCTTAAGTTATTGTTAAGATTTGGTTGGAACCAGTACGGTTAAGACCATGAAATGACCAACTGGAAATTCTTCAATCAGGATTTTTTTTCTCTGTGGTATCTAGGTAGATACTCCCATTGGTTAGGCCTTCAGGAGCTGGACAGCAGGCCTAAAAAGTTAGCCTATCCACCAGCATCAACAGAATCCACCAATCTAGTTTTGATTTACAATGGGTAGGACCAATTTCAAAAAAAGAAAATAACTCTATGCCTTCTGGAAATTCTAGATACCGCACTGACTATGAATATGAGCCATCATTTAAACAGGTTTCAGGTAGTTGTTAGGAATGGAAAACAGCCACGGCAGCTCACAAGTGCTACACAAAGTAAAATATATGTTTATGAGTTACAAATAAAATGAAATATATAGAACATCTAGACTGACCAAAAATTTTCACGTGCACCAGCATTAGCTTAGTGCTAACAGTTGATTAAAAATCCTGTAAGGGCGCTAGCAGAAACTATTTTGGGGTTGTTTTTTTATCATTTTTTGACATTTACGGCCCAAACTGAAGGCCTAGATGTAATAGTCGTGGTTGGCCACTTGTTCAATGGATAATTTTGTCCAGCCATGCTAATATGACTTACAATTAGTAAAAGATAGTAATGCCACCTGAATAAGATGTATTCTAGTCAGACATTAGCTTCCATTCTTTGTTAGCCATATTAGAATTCATTAGTGCCAAATTAATTCTAGTTTGACTTGACACTGTTAATTTCACCACAGATGTTGTAGTAGTATTGTCATCATACATAATTTGAGGTATCAAATTTATACAATTTTTATTTTCTTGCAACATTAGTTTAGAGCTGGAGCATCAAGGCCAACTTTGCTAACACTAGATCTCAATAGTCACCCAACACTGTTAGGATTTGCTAAATTGTAGTACTCTGGCTAAGTGGCTCCCATAGGTGACAAAGCATCATCTAGGAACTGAAATTATAATTTAATGAAAATATAATGATAAAGTCAGGCATTTCATACATCTTTACATATTAACATCACTGTTGAATGAAGCCACCAAATAAAGAGACATGTGAGAGCTAAAAGAATGGATCTTAGTGGTGATCTGAGCCAATTGATCTAGTTTTTGGTACCAAATTTGTTCTAGTTTAATGTGACGCTGCGAATTTCACCGCAGACATCATACATAATTTGAAAAATCAAATTTACACAATTTTTACTTTATTGCATGGTCAGTTTAGAGCTGAAGTGGCAAGGTCAAAGTTGCTAGCAAACACTGGAACTCAGTAGTCACCCAAATATACCAAATGGCTTCTGTAAAAAAACTCAACAAAACTTTTCTCAACCCGCTCAAACCACATTCAGGTCTTCATTAAGGTCTTGTAGACTTGACAGTGTGGTTTAGGATAAAGTATGAAAAACTATGAACTATAAAAGATTGAGAGTTCTAGTGTTTGTTAGCAACATTAGCCATGTAGCTCCAGATTAAAACTGAAGAAGCAAAATTTTAACTTGTCTTTGCTGACAAGACAACATCTTGGAAAAGTGGAAAATTGGATACATTTAATGTTTCACCACACTATTCCTTCAAGACAAATGGACGCAAAGTGTCTCGAATGACCACAGCTTTCTGTGGCTGTGTTAGGACTGTGCTAACAAATGAGTACGTGAGAATCAGGGCATCCTAAATTGGCCCTTTAGGCCAAATCTAACCCGCAAAGCCTTGTTGTTTGGCCTGACTGGCCAACCAAAACAGTGCCATCCCAGACAAATTATACATGCACTTTTTTCATTGTGTCTTTTGGATCACCATTTATCCAAAGTATTTTTCTTCTGCTTTGTTCTGTATTAACCTCCCGTCTGATCGTTTTCTGCTTCGCCACATTCCTTCAGATTTTGCTAAAAGCATTTTTATCCCCTGGATTGCTATAAAATGCAACATTTGCAGCAGAGTGGCTTCACTAATGCTGCTGCCGATGGCTTGTTTTGAAGAACGTGAGGAGTCATAAAGGTTTTTGAGTAAACTGCCAGAGTTTTACCGGAGCTGTCATTAAGACCCTCGCAGAGGCTCCAGCTGAGACTTACGTAACTTTGGTGCAATGCACAACACAGACGTTCAGGCATTGGAAAGTCTTAATAAACTTTTTTCCAGACACAGTTCTGTTTATAGGAAAAAAAGGGAACCTCACTGGAGTAACCTCATTGATTAAAGCATTCCTCAGACTTTTATAAAGGAGCAAAGTGCTAACGTGGCTACCAGCTAGTGCCTGTTTGCCTGATCAGTCAAGTTCATAATGCTCATTTACCGTAACTAGTTTAAGTTCTTTATTAACAGTGCTTGTGTTACGGGGAGGGACACAAACACACACATACAGTATGGCCTAAAGTATGTGGACACCTACCAACCACACCCTATATGAGCTTGTTGGACATCCTATTCCGAAACCATGGGAATTAGTATGGAGTTGGCCCAGTATAACAGCCTCCACTCTTCTGGGAAGGCTTTCCACGAGATTTTGGAGTGTGTCTGTGGGAATTTGTGAGGTCAGGCATTGATGTTGGACAACAAGGCTCACAATGAATGTTCCTGTTGATCCCAAAGGTGTTCAGAGGGGTTGAGGTCAGGGCTCTGTGCAGGCCAGTGGAGTTCCTCCACACGAAACTCAGCAAACCATGTCTTTATAGAGGTCGCATTGTTCGCAGGGGCTCAGTCATGCTGGAAAACTCAAACTGTTGCCACAAAGTTGGAAGCAAATAATTGTGTAAGATGTCTTTATGTGCTGTAGCATTAATATCACCCTTCAGTGGAACTGAGTTGCCTGAAAAACATCCCCAGACCATTATCCCTCCTCCACCAAACTTTACTGTGCGTCCCAGTAGGAAGTGTTCTCCTGGCATCTGCCAGTCCCAGATTCGTCCTTCAGTCTGCCAGGTTGTGAAGTTGGGTTATCACTCTAGAGAACATGTTTCCACTGCTCCAGAATCCAGTGGTGGCATGCTTTACACCACTCCAGCCAACGCTTGGCATTGCGCATAGTGGTCTTAGGCTTGTGTGCTGCTGCTCAGCCATTGAAAAACCCATTTCATGGAGATCCCGACGGCAGTTCTTGTGCTGATGTTGCTTCCAGATGAAGTTTGACACTCTGTAGTGAGTGATGCAACAGCGTTTAGGTGCTGTGGTCATATTTTAGCTGAGCTTTTGATGCTTCTGTTTCAAAACAATAGCACTTACAGTTGACTGGGGCAGATCTAGCAGGACAGAAATTTCGCAAACTAACTTGTGGCAGAGATTGTTTACTATGGCAGTCCTGCATGTAAAGCCACTGAGCTCTTCAGTACGACCCATACTGCCAGTGTTTGTCTATGGGAAAATGGCTATTTGCTTGATTTTATACCCCTGTTAGCAATGGGTGTGGCTGAAACACCTGAACAATTTTATGGCTGTATTACCTGTTCTTACTCGATTCTCAGTGCTTTCACTAGTAATCTAATCTTTAATTAATACTTCTTTTTACCTCTTGCCAGAGTTTGAACATCCAGGTGGAGGACGTGCGCATTCGGCCGATCCTGGCGTCCTACCGGAAGCGAATCCCAGTGACGGAGGGCTACGTGGAGGTGAAGGACGGAGGAAAATGGAAGCAGATTTGCGATGAGGAGTGGAGCCTGATGAACAGCAGGGTGATCTGCGGCATGTTCGGCTTCCCCGGAGAGAAGAGATACAACATGCGCGTCTACAAGTCAGTATGCACGACGTTACAGCATGGGGCTGTTTGTATTTTAGTGTCTCTTGCAGAGTCAGGCTTCTGTGCATGTTTGCCTTTTGATTCTGTTATATAAGAAGCAGTATGTTCACTGGGATTTTAGCACCTAATGTGTTTATAGACTCTTCATTGCCACGTTGATTACAGTAAGCATTCATACTAATTATAATGTTTAAAAAAAAATAGCAGTTTGAGGAAAGATTTAAACGATTTCCCATTTCCCAAAATGTGTTTGAAAGTACAGACAGTGTGTACAGACAATGTTTAATATTTAGTTATCCTAAAGAATTTTCACACAGAGATGCTTTTCACAGATTTAACACAGTGAAACCTCCAATGTTCTTATTTAACACAGGAGCTGAACATTAAAACAAGCAAACAAACTACAAACCCTGATGTGAAAGACAGCATTAGTGGTGATACTTGCATTTTTAAAACTTTTTGTTTGTAAAATTTGGAATACTCAGGATTTTAAATAAAATAAAATACATATATATTTTGATAACTTCAATTTTTCTACATTGCTTATCGTTTCAGCTTTAGTTTTTCATCAAACTATCACTTTAATGGAAACAGTAAGTCCAACTCATCCCAGAGAATGCAGCTCCACTTCTCCAGAGTCCAGTGCTAGGGGCGTTATAGCCCAAATGAAAAACAACAGTATTTTGCAATAATTTTGTCCAGATCTGTCACTTTTTCTTACTTGCTTGTCGTCCCAGATCTAGTTTTTCATCAAAATATCATCCAGCTCATCCCAAAGATACTGGATGGAGCTCCGTTTTTTCAAAAGAATATAGTTCCACTGCTCTACAAATGCTGGGGGGAGCTTTATACTCCTGTAAAATAAAAAAATGGCAAAAAAATGTATCAGTATAAATTTATTTATCAATAATTTTGTACCCGATCTGTTAATTTTTCAGACCTGCTTATCATTCCAGCTCTGTTTTTTTTTTATTAGACTATCACTTTAATCATTTTTAATACATCTCCATGCTATTAATCTTAGGAATCACTTTTCTCAGAATTTCCCTTTATTACTGGTCATTTTTCACTGAGCACTGATATAAGATTCATAGTCAAATCAATGTAAACGGTAAACACGTCCACTAGCCCACTAGCTCCAGCGAAAGTAGATGGAAAAAGGGAAGAAACACATGCAAGTTTTCCATGATCACTGGCTTTGGAAACTGCTGGCTATCTCTTTTAAACACATATCCAAAGTACTGACCTGCACTGACCGCTAGAGCTCACTGGGAGAAATGTCTCCAGTGAGTCTTTTTATGCCTAAGTGTTTTTGCGTCTCGAAAGGAAGAAAAGACATGAATCTTGAAGATCAGGCCCGTGTAGAACATTTCATGTTAATTTAAAGCATCTTGGAAGGACATTGTTTAAGTCTTTGTTCTGGTCCCGTCGCGTTCCGTACAGCGGCTGTATCGTGCGGCTGTCTGAGGACCCGTAAATCACCAACCTTTCTTTCACTACCATGTGGAAACCTGCTCTGAAACATCCTGTCAGCAATTAATCATGCACATGAGATACTACTGGTTGAGAGTGGAAAAGAAGCTCTAAGTAGCTGTCTTGGTTTTGGAGTCTTCTGCAGCGCCGGACTGAAGCTACGTGCCTCCTTGCACACGTCGAAGCCTACAAAATGCGCCTGTTTTTCTAAACGCTCGTCCACTGTTGGGCGGGCACAGAACCAGCACTGCTTTCATAACTCAGCGGGATTTGGCTTCTGCTAAATGATCTCTGGATAGTCCATGGACTTCTTCCAAACGTAGACGTACGCTCAACTTTGGAGACACCTGCTCCTCCAGCATTTCTTCTGCGGTGAAAGGTATTAATAGGGAGTCGCTGGAGTAACAGCCTCAACTCTTCTGGGACGGCTTTACAACAGATGTTGGAACATTGCTGTGAGGATTTGATTGCATTCAGCCACAAGAGCGTTAAGGATGTTGGATGATCAGTTCTGGATCACTCCAGCGCATCCCAAAGGTACTGGATGGAGCTCTAGCACTCCAGAGAATGCAGTTCTACTGCTCCACAGACCAATACTGGGGGGCTTTATACCCCTCTAGCCTACACTTGGCATTGGCTTTGGTGACCTTGGGACTAAGGCCAAAGCCTATGCATTTTATCCCCTTGTTGTGGCGTCAGCACTCATTACCATTCAAATGTGTTCGGGCTCAAATAGTTTTAATTTGTTGGTTTAACAGTAGTTTGAGAAAGAAAACTGGCAAATCTTTAGGCAAAACCTACATCACATATCCCTTTCATTAAGCTACGTATGCCCAAATGATTGGCACATGGTTATTTTATGCTAACAGAATACATTTACAGGTGGTATTCCTATCCAGGTCCACTCGTGGATGGCTGGGGTCATCGCCAGGAGTTGAACTCAAGACCTCCTGACAAGATGATTGTGTCACTCAGGTGGCAGGTGTGAAACAACGGCATAATAATTCAGAACATTTATGATGAATTGTTTGACACAGCAAAGATAAGGAGTTGCTGAAATTGGCATCTATCTATCAGCACATCACAGATGGTTTTATGTAGCAGAAGTGATCATTTGAAGGATTGCAAGTTGCTCATTTGGGGTTTTTAATTGCTTTGTTTAACTGTGAAGTTGCCCAGATATTATTTTGCATGCAACTCACAACATGCAACTAGTTGCATGAGAGTTTCACCATGTAAAGCCATCATACACACTTAAAAAGGCAATCAAAGAACACTTCACATGATTAAAAGGTTCTTTGCATCGTGAAAGCGTTCTTAAAATTGGTGGAGAATGTGCTATAGTTGGTTCTATATAGAACACTTTTTGAAAAAGGCTCTATGTAGCACCAAAAAGTGTTCTGCTATTGCTATGATATCAAGCTTGTTACAATAGAAGAACCCTTTTCATAAAGATTCTAAAAAGAACCATCTACAGCACATTCTCCATCAATCTGAAGAACCCAAAGAGCCTGTCAGTCATGCAAAGGTTTCTTTAAGTGTTTGTGGTTCTATATAGAAGCACTTTCTTCACTAAGAACCCTTGAAGAGCCACCTTTTTCAAGAGTTTACAAACTCACCAAAACGTTTTAACTAACTTTTTTATATCTCCATCTGTTTTTTGAGTCAGAGCTGAGAGGGTTGGGGACAGGAGTCCTCATTCAGCTGCAGTTCTGTGTGTATGTCTATGTGTTTGTGTCTCTTTAAGTTTGTTTTTGACATAATCTACCCTGGATGGCCGCCAGCGTTAGACATTCTTTCACTCAGTGGCTAAATGAAAAACAAATGCGGCTCGCGTCTCTCTCCAGTAACACCTCAGAGACTTTTCCTCTTATTAAACGCTCTAATACTGTCTTTAGGAACAGCGGTTGGTGGACTATGTCTGACCTTATGTGATTAAATTACACAAAGACGTTTCTGTGGAAATGGAAGAACCTTCGCTTAGAGGCTTGACATGGCTGCGATTGCAGACTCTGCTGTTTTCCAAACCAGTTTCCGTTGTATTATTGTATTTTGATATACAGTTCAGCGTGACTGGCTTGTTTGTCTTGAAACGACGGTTTAAAAGTTTAATTATCTGTCCGTCTGTCTTCTTCTCTTGCAGAATGTTTGCCCGCAGGAGAACGCCGTCCTACTGGGATTACTCTGTGAACTGCACTGGAAACGAGGCCCATTTGTCAAGCTGTAAGCTGGGTCACTCTCTCGCGGCCAAGGGCAACAGCTCGTGTGGTCAGGGCATCCCCGTGGTGGTCAGCTGCGTCCCTGGCAGGGCCTTCGCTCCTACCCCCATGGCTGGCTACAGGAAGGCCTTCAGACAGGAGGTAGGAGAATGCATGGCCACAAAACCCACACTGCGCTTTGAGAGTTGGGAGCGTTTGAAAGTTATTTTCCCCGTGTTGCGTCCACCTCATTCGCTCAGTGAAATGGAACAGTATTTTACATGTAGACTCACTAGCCACGTAGTCCACACTTCCATTTTCATATTTAGTTACAGGTTTATAAATAACACACGTCATCTAAAATGTCTGTAATAAAATTTAACAAATAAGTAAATACATTAAAAAATGAATAAATACATAAATGCAGTTAGTTGACCAAATAAAATGATTAAACCAATTGGTTGACTTTCTGACAACACTGAAAATTTAGTAACAATTTATTTGAAGGCTACCTACATAGGGACCTCATAACACATGCATAATAAATATAGAATAACTTCATTACAAAGACGTACTTGGGATATTCATTGCCACCTACATTGGGACTTTAGAATATGTATAAAGTGTTGAATAACTTAATTATAAAGCAGTACTTAAGAACTCATGGCCACCAACATTGAAACTTTATAACATGTACATAAGCACTGAGTAACTTAATTATAAAGCAGTACGTAATAACTCATGGCCACCTACATTGGGACTTTATTACTTGTACGTAAGTGTTGAATAACTTAATTACAAAGCAATACTTGAGTATTCATGGCCACCTACATTAGAACTTTATAACATGTACATAAGCGTTGAGTACATTAATTATACAGCATTACTTAATAACTCATGGCCACCTACATAGGGACTTTATTAGATGTACAGAAGCATTGAGTAACTTAATTATGAAGCAATACTTAATAACTCATGGTCACCTACATTGGGACTTTATTACATGTACATAAGTGTTAAGTAACTTAATTATAAAGCAGTACTTAATATCTCATGGCCACCTACATTGGGACTTTATAACATGCACATAAGCGTTGAGTAACTTTATGATAAAGCATTACTTAAGAACGCATGACCACTTACATTGGGACTTTATAACATGTACATAAGCACTGAGTAACTTAATTATAAAGCAATACTTAAGAACGCATGACCACTTACATTGGGACTTTATAACATGTACATAAGCACTGAGTAACTTAATTATAAAGCAGTACTTAAGAACTCGAATGAAATACCTTATTCAGTGAAGTTCTTCAAATCGAAGTCGTACCAAACTGTTTGACTATTGGTGTGTGCTGTACCTTCCCAAAAACTGACCACCATCCTGAGATCTCCTATGTTCTGCGGTGAAGTTAGAGCTCTCACATGGCACAGAACGGTCACTGCGAAACGTACAGTATATGGACATTTATTTTAAGATGGCCATATATATCAATCTTTGAAGACACCATTCCCAACCCTGCAATTTCAGCCTGAGTTGGACTGAAACTCTGTGATTACGTGGACATTAATATGAGGGAGCGATGAAGAAGGTATTTGATGGTTCTCCAGCCTCGCTCTGACAGGATTTTTCCCCAGAGATGATCTCACCAGCCAAACCACGTTCCAGCCGTCGGAAAGGCGGCATGCTCTCAGTCACGTTCCAGAGTTCAGCAGGGTCAGGCACAGGCACCACTTTCTGCTAGGTGAAGTAGAGCAGAGGAAACTGTCAGTAACCAACTACATTGATTGAATAGTGTTGGAAAACATGAGGTTCCACCTGAGCTAGTTAACTGAAACTGTCAGTGTTTATCTAGAACGGAATTATGTATCTAATATGTGATGATTTTAGATACAAAATACAGCAGCATTGTAAATGTCATCTTAATGCACCTCATTATGCCCATTTCACGCATGGTTTATATGACTTGTACGACAAAATGTTGACTTACGTTCGCTGTAATTTATGTTTTCCTGTCTTTCAGCAACCCCTTGTTCGTCTGAGGGGCGGGGGGGTGGTGGGCGAGGGCCGGGTGGAGGTGCTGAAGAACGGGGAGTGGGGCACCATCTGCGATGATAAATGGAACCTGGTGTCAGCCACTGTGGTCTGCAGAGAGCTCGGCTTCGGGACGGCCAAAGAAGCGCTTTCTGGTGGTCAGCTGGGACAAGGTCAGCCAGCAACACAGTTCTATCTATCTGTTCATCCATCCATTCATTTTTTCTTTCATCCATCTGTCCATCTGTTTTACTATCCATCTGTCTGTCCGTCTACCCATCTATCTATATATCTATCTATCTATCTATCTATCTATCCATTCATCTATCTATCCATCTATCTATCTATCTATCTAGATGCTGATTGCAGAGTTACCTTTATCTAATAAAATAGTGACACTGGTCTTAAATGTAAATACACCCAGTTTTTCATCTAACCTTATTTTCCTAATCTCTAATAAAATGTCTCTGGTTCTGTTTTGCTAAACTGATGCCGCATTACCGTGAAGATAGTCTGTTAAATCACCAGCTGAATGGGCTGCGTGTGGTTTCTGCCATAGGCAGGAACACCACAATAACTTTAACACCAGAAAACATGGTTATCGGATCTGGACAAAAGCTTGTGGCTCAAGCCATTCAGTGCAAAAACATACAGAGAGCTTAAGTTACAGAGATGAGAGCGTGCTTACAGGAAATGCACACATACAGACGCCGTAGTGTTCGTGTGAAGGTCTGGGCTTATGGCTCATATGGCTCATCTGTTTTCCAAATGTTGAGGGGAGCAGACTGAAACATTACACCACACAGTTCGCTCCATACTCCGGTGGCCATTATTACACATTGTTAACACTGGCTGGATGGAAAATTAAAGTGTTTCTAGCCCAAAGTCACTGTAATCAGGAAAGTCATCATGTAGAGGGAAATAGTTTCAACACAGATGCTCATCTGCTCATTTAAACCAATCATTTCAAAAATCTCAACAGCAGTAAAGGCAGTATGGGAGGGAGTGATGCTGGTCTTTGTGTTCTTGTTTGAATTTGAATACAGTAAGAAATCACTCTGTCTCTCACAGCACCACTTACAATAGCTTGCCTGTATATTACATAGTTCTGTTTTGACTTATGATTTTGGGCCCTTTTTATCCCCATAAGCTGATCTCTGATCTTCACTATAAGACTGCGTGTTTCCCTCAGGCTGAAAATGTAAACCACCTGTAGGAATGCCTTTGGGATCCAGCAGATAACCCAAACAGAGGAATGTCTGGCTCATGGATGACCCTTTTTCAGGGCAAGCTTCAGTATACTGATATGATTCTCAGTGGTCAAATGTGATTATTTAAGCCCTCAGTAACTCTACAAAATGTTAAAGGGCCCATATCATGGACAGTTTTTGAGGGGATTAGTGTAGCATGTTTGAATTCATTGTTTTTGTGATGTCCCAAAAGCTTCTACCTATATATGCCATTCGGCCTATAGCAGTTTAGCTCCGACCCATTCTCACTGAAGTTATAAAGAGTGTTTCAGGCTGGACTGCTGTTTGAATGAGGAAGCCTATCAGAACAGAGCTCATTTGCATAAATCAGTCTTGAAGGCACAGTAACAAAAACAGCCTGTATAATTCTTAGGGATAAAATTTTGAAAAATGGATGTAAAAATATGAATTACAATCATGGAAACCCACACAAACATTATTAGTGGACCTCGGGGAAAAAGACATAAAATAAAATGTAGAATATGGGCCCGATTGTAAATAACCCTGTACCTTCGCCTTTAAATTTAAAGGGCAAAACGATGCATCCCAGCTTAAAACTAGCATTTAATTTGTAATTTGTTTTGTTATTTCTTATGTAATATTCTGTAGAGCAGCATTATATCTCTCAACCTCATCAATTTCACAGAATTCACAACTTTATATCCTTTTGTGTTTTTTCATCTGTCAGTGCTCTTTTACTACAATACCCAGCATGCATTAGGCAACCATTGGGAACCCTTTCCACTGGGAAAAAGCTCAAATGCTTGAGCAGGGGCTCACCATGCATTTGGGCTGAGAGTAATTGTCCCAACTTTCACCTATCAGCGTGAGCTGTCAGTGTTAGGAAACAGCACATTGCGGCGGTTCTTGTAGCGCCACGCTCCGCTTTTGTGCACTGCTGTGTGGAATGCGAGACTGCCAGTAAATTCCAGACTGATGGTGCAGCTCCATCGAAAACAGAAGGCATCCTGAGCTCTGGATAGATGGTCTTGGGCGGAGAACTTATCATTTTCTCCCCAGATTTACTTCTACCTTCTGCTTGGCAGAGAACACTGCAATAATCCACTCCTGAACGATCAGCAGCCTTTCATTGGGTCGGTTCAGAAGTAATTAGTGAAAACATTCAGTAGAGCTTTCAGTTTCAGCCGTCGTGCAGCACTGGAAACTGCTGAAAAGGAATTGACCACAGGTTTAGTAGTTCATATTTGAAAACAGTATTAGATAATGTTAGTTAACAAGCTGATTAACTCTTACAAGTCCGATTATTATTGTAAATTTGCTCACCTATCGGACTAGGCAGCGTTACTTCGCAACTTCTAGGAGGAGACCTGCGCTAGTACAACAAATTTTTAACCAGGAAATTGGAAAAACAAAGCTTAAAAAAAACCCCAAAACTTGGAGATAGTATGAGAAATAGCAATAAAACAGAAAGCAGTGATTAATAAATTCAGTTTGATCTGTATTAAATAGAAAACAGTACAAAACCATGGTAATTTATGTTTTACCTTACAAACTTTGTTGTTCTTTGTAAATATATGCTCATTCCAAGTACGACGCCAGCAACACATTCCAAAAAAGTTGGGACAGGAGCATCTTTACTTCTGTGTTATATCACCTTTAACCTTTTTAATAGCACTTAAAGATGATTTTTTAAACTGTAGACACCAGCTGATCCAGTGTGCAAGTTATCCACTAATACCCTCCCATACCATTGATAGACCCTGACTTTGAACTTTACACTGGCAACAGCCTGGATGGTCCTTCTCTTCTTTGGCCTGGAGGACACAACGCCCATTATTTCCATAAACACTCTGAGCCATTGATTCGTTTGGCTGCAGTACACGTTTCCTATGTGCATCAGTGTATTTTAGATGATCTCTAGCCCAGAGAAGTTGGCGTCGTTTCTATAAACAGTGGACACGAGGCTTCCACTGTGCATAGTGCAGTCTAAATTTGCATTTTGTGGAGGCAGCAACAAATGGTGCTTACTGAGAATGATTTGTCAAAGTATCCCCAAGTCCATGAGGTGATATCCATCACAGAAGAACGCCTTTTTTATTGAAGGTCATTGGTATTCAGTTGTGGTTTTTGGCCTTGAGCTTTACACACAGAGATTTTTTCAGATTCTCTGAATTTTTGATGATGTGATGCACTGTAGAGGCTGAAATACCTAAAATGCTTGCAAATGCTCCTTGAGGAATGTTGTTCTTAAACAGTTGGACTATTTGCTTATTGATTTTTTTAGCAAAAGTAGCGAGCCTTGCTCATAAAGGACCATTTACTGTAAATTGTACTGTACATCGAGCTGCCTCCACATTGACTGGATGGGAGTTATCCACCTGGAAGAATAGCCAAAATTAGTGTTTATCAGTGAATAATTTACATATCACTTTATCTATGATTTCTATTCAAAATCCATTCTATATTGACAAGGTAAAATTCAAATCATAATAAAATATCTCAGCTTTTACTCACAAACACAAGCGTGGTGTGGATTGGAGGTTTCGACACAGTTTCTCCACTTTTTTACAATGAGTTTTCAGTGAGTATATTATACCATTCTTATCATATCTCTGGTGATAACCGTCACATGATCAAGGGTTAAATATCGCTGCTCAGGTCTCATTTCCTCTGTTTGTGTGTTTGTTGTTAGGAATGGGCCCAGTCCACATGAATGAGGTGCAGTGCTCTGGCTTTGAGAAGTCCGTTACTGAGTGCCAGTTTAACATGGATAAGGACTCAGAGGGATGCAGTCACGAAGAGGATGCGGGTGTCAGGTGTAACGTTCCCGCCATGGGCTTCCAACAGAGAGTGAGGACATTACACACATCGTATATATACATATTTTGTATGTTTTTTTTTTTTTAAGTGAAATTATTTTAGATGCTTAAGTAGAGCTATTTTTGTAGGTTAACAATGATGATTTTCCTGGGATATCCCTTCACTTTTTAATAAGAACCATTTTTAAGAGCCAAAGTAAATCTGAAATATTTTTACTGTCCAAAATAGTAAAAACAAAACACAACAATGTATAGATAAAACTATGTCAGTATTGCTTATTGCTTTCTAAGGCTCTCCGAAGGCACAGTATTACATTGTATGGAGGTACTCTTGGCGTCAACAAAACCTGCTAATAGACACGGCTGCATGCCGTGTTGTTATTGTCATTGAGTGTGGCATATTGATGTATACTGTGGTAAATTGAGGAAATTGCACAGATTTCACCATCATCCTGTATGAATTAGCCAGTCAGGTCCCACAAGATGATAGTATATTATAGTGCAGATTATAATATAACATCTCTAAACTAAGGCTAATTAGTGCCAAAAGCACAGTAATAAATTATGATGGTGTCCAACTTATTGTTGTTCCCTTGCAGCTGCGTCTAAGCGGTGGCCGTAATCCATTCGAGGGCCGTGTGGAGGTGCTGGTGGAGCGGAATGGCTCTCTGGTTTGGGGTACAGTGTGCGGCGAGGGCTGGGGCACCATGGAGGCTATGGTGGTGTGCAGACAGCTCGGCCTGGGCTTCGCCAGCAATGCCTTTCAGGTAAAATCTGCTCTACCATGTTCCTAAGTTGACTTAAAGCAGTACCGTAAAAACAAAACAGTGGGGCATGGTTAGAGGTCAGCCTGCATCATTTTTGGTCAAAATGTACGTTTTGTGAACACCGTGATTCAATAAAACACACAAAAAAACTCTTAGATAGATTTAGTTAATCTTTTTTAGATTTCAACTAAAATGGGCATTGCTAGGCCATTGCTATGTTATCCCAGGTGGTTGCTAAGGTGTTGCTAGGCCATTGCTATGTTATCTCAGGTGGATGCTAAAGTGTTGCTAGGCCATTGCTATGTTATCCCAGGTGCTTGCTAAGGTGTTGCTAGGCCATTGCTGTGTTATCCCAGGTGGTTGCTAAGGTGTTGCTAGGCCATTGATATGTCATCCCAGATGGTGGCTAAGTTGTTGCTAGGCCATTGCTATGTTATCCCAGGTGGTTGCAAAGGTGTTGCTAGGCCATTGCTATGTTATCCCAGGTTGTTACTAAGGTTTTACTAGGAAACTGCTGTGGTTTCCCAGGTGGTTGCTAAGATGTGTGTGTATAAATATTTCAAAACTTTAGACCCACTAGTTATGCTACTTTCAGTTGGAACAAAATAATTTTACCTACTGCAGTTTTTTATGATATTTTTACTATATTTTAGTTTACAATATTTATTTTTTCAGACATCTGATCAGCTGGAACACAGAAAAAAGAACCAGTAGTGCTACATTTTTAAAATATACTTTTTGTTTTTTTGTCTCAGCTCATTAACATACAGGGATGGATTCCCTCAGTATTGATTCATAAGCTGAGCATATGAGAAATGTCCGTACTTAAGAGGCGTAACACGTGCTGCAGCGAATATGCTGTGTTCCTCTCTCCCTCAGACCATCCGACACATAACAAAAGCAGGAGATTTTTATTGCATTTTTCTTCGGCGTCCTGTGATTCCATCTGCTAGACTGCAAGGCCACTTTCCAGCGCTTTTCAGATGTTTCCTCTTGGAGAAAAATCTCTCTATTGAACTCTGAGTCACTCGCAGAGCCTTTAAGGCTGCATTCCTTAATTAGACGCCCCGGGAAAAAATGAATTTCTATGACAAAGTGGATTTGTTAAACCAGAGAGTGTGAGAGCTCAAAAAACTGCCCCAAGTCTTTTTAAGCACATTGAAGACCAGAGCTGAGATATAGGCGTCTCATGTAAATGAAGGATGTCTCTTACAGAGGGAGTTTTGCGGTTTGAGAGAATTACAGCCATTCGACTGCGCTCCAAAGCTCATTCTACTTAATCTCGAGCTTTTCCGACACTTAGGGCCGTCTGCGTTTGCCGTTGCTGAGGAAACACGACGCTCCCTTCTGTTTTTGCAGGAATCCAGTCGCGTAAACATCAGGCGACACCTGGGAGATATATAAGAGGAAACATGTCCTGCAGCTAATAGATCTTGAGTAGAACGTCTGATAAGAGAAAGGGGCGTCTGCCAGAAGGTTTGGAAAGAAGTCCAGGCCAGTCTTGCGGGAGATTTATGAGCAGAAAATGACTGAGAAGAGTTTGGCAGTGTTAGCCACGTGTCGGATTGAAAGGAAAAGCTTTGTGAAAAGTGTAATTTACACATTTAGCCCAGATGTACTTGATCAGCCAAGACGTGTTTGGTGTCTGAAGTTTTGCGCTGGAGCTACAAGGCTAATGTCGCTAACAAGAAGCTTATGTACACCAGTTAGCAATGTGCATTGTGCAGCTAGAGTTGTGCGTGTGACATTCATGTGTAAGGACATTTGACGTGGTCTGAAATCCAACCCGACGCCTCTGATCTTTAAACCCGTAAAATCCCAGGCTTATTACATACTAAGGCTTATTATTCAGTAACTACAGGGACTTCAATCCAAACTGACTGAGCTATTCTTAGGTTATAGAAGTGTGTAATAAAACTTTGGGCCCACAGGTTACGCTACTTTCAATTGTAACAAAATAATCTTACATAGTGCAGCTTTAAAATTGTCTGTATGTGTATTTCAACTAGGAGTGGGCAATATGGCAAACATATTATATTGCGATATTTGCGAAATTTTCGCAATGCTATCAAAAACTGTAAGCACAATGATTTTTATTCAATATTTGGCACACTGTGTTGCACTAAACCCAGTTAAACGTGGCTAATTTTGCTCTCTTTATAATCAAACATGCAGTTGGTCAGTGCTCTGCAAGTACCAACGATATCCACGATATCTTAAAAATAGCATAATATGTTGTATTTTGACATAATTTATTGATAACGATACATACTGTCAAACCGCCCAGCCCTAATTTCAACATCAGATTTCAATTCAAAGCACTTCCATTAGCTCAGCTGTCTTCAATTAGCGTCCCCTTCAGACTCGGATCCATTTGGTGGGTTCTGGTTTTCTTACTCTGCCGTCTTCCATCCTCAAGAAAAGTCTACGACATGAGCTACTCAGTACTGCCAACTATATACAATGCTACATCATTTATTGGTGCCTCTGGATATGTTTTTTAATCAGTAGTTTACAAACAAATGGATCCTCAAACAAAGCACCGATAACCAAACTGGACATTCTGAGAAAAACCAGACCTGGTCATTGGAAAAGACTACTATGCTTGGAAGAGTTCAAAGTAAAAGAGGATGAACAGCTACAAGATGGGTGGATTCAGTCATTTAGAAGCCTGAAGACCCAAACAGAACACAGGATATTGAGGAGCAGGCATGTCAAACTGGGGACCTTGTGGGCCAAAGATCAGTGTTTACCCTCATCTTACGCCCTGAATTCAGTTCATGAAGGCCTTGCTAATCAGCTGATGAGCTGGATCAGGTGTGTTTAATGAGGTAGCATGATAAAATCTGCAGTGTTTTGGCCCGCGAGGACTGGAGCCTGACACATGAGTTCTGGAGGAACACTATCCATGTTACTATCGGGATTCTTGGGAGAATTGACTTGTTCTGAAGGGAAGATGAACAATACAGGAGAGCCTGACAATCATCACACTGTCTTCAAAGCCATTTCCAAATCATACTTAATGGTGATTGTTTCTGGGAGCATAACTCTTCACACTCGCAGAAATAAAGGTAGTAAACTGTCACTGGGGCAGTGCCCCTCTTGTCACTGGGGTGCCCTTAGTCAGGGAGCATAACTGTACCATAATCCATTCAAATTATATTTTCTAAGCTGTACTGACTCCACACACCCGTCTCGTCTCCAGGCTTTTATATTTTACTGTTCTGATTTAAAACATTACATTATGAAAAGGTACAAATACGAACTTTTCACCTGGGAAAACATTTAAAGTTCACAACTGGACCTCAAAACCACTGTTGTACCTTTGAGCGAACATTTACATTGTTTGTACCTTGATGAACAAAAAATGTACCTGCACAGAACCTTTATTTCTAGCAGTGTACCTGTATGTTATGCTAATGAGCTAATATGCGAAATAGCATGCCCAATGTGATTTGCCTAAGAACTTAAAAAATAAAGTTTTCTAAATGGTTCTTGGTGGGAAACTTTTAATTGGTATAGAACCTTTACATTATACAGAGGTTTGGTAAGCTTTTAAGACACAAACACCTCAATTGCAAAATCATTTTATTAAAGAACCATAAAGAACCAGTTTGGCACCTTTATTTTTCAGACTGTTGGCAAAATACAGTGTCAACCTGGTGCTAGCTTATGGAAATAAAGACCTGAAAGCATTAAAAGAGGAGAATTATAAACTTGTTTACCTCATTGCAATACTAAAAAAAGTACTTTTCAGTACTTTACGCAGGTCTACATACTTTGAACCATTTTTATACATGCATACTGCACAGCTAAAGCAAACCTTAGATCCCAAACGTGTCTTGGCACTATATTTAGGACAGGGTAAAACATTTCATTCTGTCATAAAAACAGCTTTTAATGGATTCATATCAGTTCTGTTCAAAGCTTTCTTTTAATGTAAAATTGGAAGTGAGCTAATGTGACCCTTTTTGCATTATATTCCAAGTTAAAAGCATGATTTGTGATAAGTTGGTTTGGTATCAACAACACTAACTCTTCTTTTTTTTTCTTTTTGTAGACTGCAGCGTAAGATGGTTAGTTTATATGGTTAATCAAATAATGACCAGTGGTTTATACTTTGACATAAACAAAAATCTTCATACAGTAACCGAGACAGCGGCGCCCTCTCCTGGTTAAATTACGTTACAGCTCTGTGAAGGAAGTTCCGCTGCAGTGTAGTAAAAGCCTCAGGACGAGCTGAATCATTGACCAGCTGATAAAGCCTGCAAAAGTCAACGCTAATCCTTTAAGCATGGCTAAGATTAGGACTAAGATCAAAGCGTCTTGTGGATATGAATGATGATTCTAATAGGTGTAATTTCTAGTGGGGAGAGGGGGTTAGAGCCTCCCCAGTAATTATAACTCAGCCGTATATCCCCCTACATTGTTATATCTCTGTAAAATGATATTAGTATACTTTAAATTTTAAAGCCAGTTTACTTATTTTGGCATAAATTGATATTTTACTCAAATAATTTCAAGTTTTAGAAGAGAAATTTGTGGACTTAAGTTTGTGAGACAACCGGTTTCCATCTCAATGTGTTTACAGTTCATGGAGTAATAATTCATATTGTTAGTTAACTAATGTTAGTTACCACCTATTTTTCACAATTTCTGCATAACTCAGTGGTTGAGACATAAACAGAGTCATTCAGAGTGGTTTGGTGTGAAATGGTTGATTGTAGAGACTCAGATTTCTTTACAGTGGTGGTGATGGGAGCCAGGGGTCACCATGACCACAACACAAATATAGCCATTTTATTTACTATCCAAAACCACCAGTGAACCAACACGAGTGTTCTGAGTTTTATATGTAATGTTGATGATGGTGAAATATGTATGTACCCCTCCACCATGAGTGAATAAAAAAACTACGTTTTAGACCAATATCTTCTCAGAACTTTCATAAAACGAGGTTTTTATCCTTAATTTCAGTGAAGGAGTTTTTAGAGGTGGACGTCTGGTTCCTATCACCACCATTGTGAGCAACTCTGACTCAGTGAGTTTCTCTAGAACAAAGCATTTCACACCAAACTACTCTGAGTGACTGTTTATATCTCAACAACTGCCTTATGAAGAAATGCAGCCACAAATTTAAAAATGACCCGAATTATTTCTTATCGAAATGAGTATTATTTATTATGTAATTTCATTTAGGTATGTATTTCTAAAAAATAAGGATATAAGATAAACATAGTGATGATGATGTAATTGATAAGCAGGATTTTTTTTAACAAGAAAATAATGTGATTATTATTTGGATTCTTGGACATGAATTCTGGGTTTTTTGACTAAATTATGCTTAAAAGGCTTTAATTGTCTCTACAGTAGAATAACTGGCCACTGTTGAACTTATCTAGCAAATGTTACTGTGGTCTAACACTTGAGAAGAGGGTTGGCTCTCTAACTGAGTGACTGATTAAAACTTCCATTCTTGTGGTGAGATCAGATTTTTGTATTTTTGCAAAAGCTAAAAGAATACAGCATTTCTTTGCTATGATTGCATGCCCCCGGACCCCCCAAAAAGCCCCTGTTCAAGCCCTCCAGTGTTCAACAAAAGTTATGCACTTGGGGGAAGCGAGCCATAATCCTCAAAAAGTGGACAAGTGGCTCCCTCTTGTGGTCAACTTAGAGCACTGTAAGAGAAGTTTTCGTACAAAGTGCCTCAGTCAGGAGTCGCTGACTCAGTGCCATGCTTAACATTCATTTTATTGTGTGTAGTGCATGTAGTGGGTGATCAGTAGACTCCAGTCTAGAGTTATTGTTGTTGTTTTTGCAATATTATTTCAGTTTCATAATTTTATACATTAAAATCAACAGCCATTCAGCAACTCAAGCCTGCATTTCCTGTTATTGTTGTTTTGCAGTGCCAAGCAATGACAGAAACAAATGTGAAGAATGTTTTTTTTTTTCTTTCTGCAAAACAAGATGCAACAAAATCTTTTTATCAGATTCAAATCATAATAAAATATCTGCTCTTTTACTTACGCACACTGCTGTGGCGTTGACTGAAAGTAGTGATGCACCAGTACAATATGCAGCGTCAGTTTCGGCACCAATGCTGTCCTTATTTAACAGATCGGGTATCGTCCAGACACGACTGATCCATTACCGATACTTTTTCTTAGACACAGTTGCTGTTGAGTGGAGTGTCATGCACATCCTCACTATGCTTTTATTAATGGAACTGAATGTTGGACATGCAGCTAATAATACAGAAGGTGGAAATGAACTCCTCCATTCCGGTCTCTGTTACTCTGTGTCAGTAATTTATACAATTATTCTGACTGCTGAGAAAAAACTTGAGAGTGTTATCTTTCAAATGAGACCAAGATCATGACTGTAGCCCAAAGTATGTGGGAACAGCGCCCCCTTTTGCTTTGGATGTACCATTAAGGGCAAAAATGGGGCGACACTTAACAGGTTAACTAAGGTCGGTACTTGAAGTCTGAGCTATGTGTGATAGGAGAGACAATGAAGTGGTCTGCATTGAATAGAGTTCTCTCTCTCTCTCTTGCTCTCTCTCCCTCTCACTCTCTCTCTCCCTCTCTCTCTGTCCCTCTCTCTCTGTCCCTCTCTCTCTCTGCAGGAGACGTGGTACTGGCCTGGTGCCGTGAGCGCTGATGCAGTAGTGATGAGTGGAGTCCGTTGTGCTGGAACTGAAATGTCTCTGTCTCACTGCCTCCATCACGGAGATCACCTCAGCTGCCCTAAAGGAGGAGCGCGACACGCTGCCGGAGTCTCCTGCTCTGAGAGTGAGGCCACATTCCATAATGCCTACATCTCATTGTACTCCAGGCCTGGTCCTAGTTCTACAGTGTGAAATAATGCAAAATCTGGTAGCACTTTACTAGACAGATCAATAATAAGTGGGTTTTTGCTATAATAATAATATAGTAAGTTTTTCTGATGAAAAAAAATAATGCTAATGTTCAGTTTGTCTAAATAATAATTTGTTATTATAACGTTAAACAGTGGCTGACCATGTTTAGATATGACAGACAAGTAAGAAAGTAGAAACAAGTGAATCAGTATTTTATAGCACTAATACCACATAGTTTCAGCAGAACTGCATTATTTTGGGGTAACAACTGTAATATAATAAAAAGCCTGCAGTGGTTTAAAAGAATTGGGGTGATGTGTTGGTCAAGCTGTTATGCTATAGGACACTTTATCCCTGTAAATGTAAAAAAATGTACATTGACTGTCTAATTATTAAATTTCACTCACTTTTGCACTAATTATTTTGTATGGAAAAATTAACACTTAATTAACACTTAATTTCTGGGTAAATATAGTTTTATTACCAACTATTAAACACTACAATTACTAACTCTTTTTTTATTAACAAGAAGAAAATTAGCATGTAATATTTAGGTTAGTGTAACTTGTTATTTTACCATTTTATTACCAACATGTTACCACTATAATTACCAACTTCTCATTTCGTAACAACTAAAGATTTAGCATGTCATTTTTATGTTAGTATAATTTGTTACTGTAATGTTACTATATTATTACATACTTATTGCCAATCTGTAAAACTCATAGGTGTAATAAGAGAGCTGGATAATGACAGCTTGTACAGCACTCTGTTGATAAATCAGTCGACTGGAAGTTAAAAGAAACCCGCTCTGTGAAGTTACCTTTAATTTGTGTACAAAACCTAAACTGGAATTAAACTGGGCCTTATTTTCACATAGAAAATCAACAAAACAAAACATCTTGTAACTAGGGGTCCCCAACGTTTGCATACAACTGTACAGCTACAAATATCGATAAAACTGAAAAGCAGTGTTGCAGTATGTCAGTATCACTGTTTTAGACGCTACATCACCCTCCTACCTGAAAACTGTAAGAAGTGCTGATTAAAATTGTGTTTTACTGTTTTATTGCATTTTCATTTTATTTTTTGCTTTCTCCTCTTCGAATTAACAGACTTTAATGACTGAGTATGATTACATTTGGTGGGAGTGCTGAGCCCTAATGGTGACTTAGGTGCAATGTTTATACAAAGAGAAAATAGACCAGTGAATTAAAATTTATATACATAAAACTGTGTTCTCTGTAGAAGAAAATCTACAGTTCTAACTGGGGTGCCCAAACATTTACATGCAACTGTATGTTTCAGTGGTAATGAATGTGATTAATTTCCTCCCTCAGCCGCCCCAGACCTGGTGCTCAACCCTCAGGTGGTGGAGCAGACCACGTATATAGAGGATCGACCCATGTTCATGCTGCAGTGTGCCTACGAAGAGAACTGTCTGGCGTCCACCTCCAGCTCCACCCCGGCCAACTCTTACCGCCGCTTGCTGCGCTTCTCCTCGCAGATCCACAACAACGGCCAGTCTGACTTCAGGCCCAAAGCCTCCAGAGAATCCTGGGTCTGGCACGACTGCCACAGGTCAGCAGGCTAAAAACTATATTGGTCTTTGGTCAGATTGGTCATTCTCACATGCCATGCACTTTCCAACAACATAGTGAACCCTTAATGTGATGTAGTTAGGAGCTGGCCTGCATTATTTTCTACCAAAATTCTTGGACCATGTGATCGGCTTGATCCAAACCGCTTTGGTTTGGATGCTCACAGCACAGTAAAACAGTAAAACAACACAGTGACTGGTTACAGGGCTCATTTGCATATAGTAGCCATCTGTAATAGCGGTATTGCAAAGTCTGATGTTGCTGTAACGATTAAGGAATGTGCTGATGTAGAAAAAGTGTACAGATTTGCCTGGACCAATAATTAACAATAACAAATTCAGTCAAGAATTATGACACAGATTGGTACTTGGTTAAACAAGCATGAAGAAGCTTCAGAAGATCTTCAAATGTAGAGAGTTGTCTCTACAAGCAAAGATCAGGATTGTCCAGGCTATGGTATTCTCTGTGGTTCTTCATGGATGTCAAAGCTGGACAATAAAAAAGTACTGATGCCTTGAACTTTGGGAGAGTTCCATGAATGGAAGAAACAAAAAAATGGATTTTTGACCAATTCAAGCCTCACTTCTCACTCGAAGCCCTAATAACCAAACTGAAGCTCTTCTTTTGGACAGAGGAGGGGAACCAGTTCACCGGAAAAGAAGTCTTTGGAACAGTTGAAGGTAAAATAGGAAGAGGACGACAAGCAACTAGATAGATAGGTTCAATCAGAAGGCTCGTGAACAAGCCATTTAGAACCCTATGACTCAAATAGAAGACAGGGTATTCTGGAGAAATACTACCCAGTGAGCCAAAAGACTATGACCACCTGCCTAATACGCTGTTAGTCCTTCACATGCTGCCAAAACAGCTCCGACCCTGCCAAGGCGTGGACTCTACAAGACCTTTGAAGATGCCCTGTGGTATCTAGCACCAATACATTAGCAGCAAATCCTGTAAGTCCTGTAAGTTGCAAGATGGAGCCGCTGCAGATCGAACTTATTGTTGAATTTGCACTTGATCAGATTGAGAGCTGGGTGATTTGCAGGCCAGGGTCACACCTTAAACTCTTTGTCATGTTTGTCAAACCATTCTTGAACAGTATGTGTAGTGTGACAGGGTGCATTGTCCTGCTGATAGAGGACACTGCCATCATTGAATATCTTCGCCATGAAGGGACGTACCTGGTCCGCAACAGTGTTCTTGTGGGTGGCAGGTGTCAAACTGATTTCCAAATGAATGCCCAGACCCATCCAAAACGTTTCCCAGCAAAATGTTACCCAGAGGATCGCACTCCCTCCACAGACTTGTCCTCTTCCCACAGTGCATCCCAGTGCCATCAATTCCTACTTTTGTTGGTGGACAGGGGTTAGCATGAGCTCCAAAAGCAGCACAGACGGTTCTGTTGGTTTGAACCAGACGGGATAGTCTTCGTTGCCCTTATGCATCGATAAGCCTTGGGCGGCCACCATCCAGTCACTGGTTCGTGCTTTGTCCCTCCTCAGACCACTGCTGACCGTGAGCACCCCGCAAGCATTGTTTTCAGACGTGCTCCGACCCAGGCATTGGGCCGTAACGATGTGGCCCTTGTTGATATCTCACAGGTCATCAAGCCTGTCCGTTTCTCCTACATCTAACACGTCGATTACAAGGACCCACTGTTTGTTTATCCCAGACCTTGATACAAGATATTGTAACATGGTGTTACAATGTTATTCACTTCATCTGTGTCATAATGTTATGGCTCATCTGTGTATATGTAAGCACGATAAGGAATTCAACAGGAATCTGGACCTTACAGTTAAATATTGGCGAAATGCTTTGGAAAGTAACTTTAGATTTTTTGGCAAAGTTAAGGCTTTCATAACTCTTGTCATACCGATTCCCCAGCCAAAGCAATTTGTTTTTGCCTTTTTGCCTTTTCAGACATTACCACAGCATGGAAATCTTCACTCATTATGACCTGCTCAGCTTAAACGGCTCCAAAGTAGCAGAAGGACACAAAGCCAGCTTCTGCCTGGAGGACTCTGAGTGTGATGAAGGTTAGTATGTGGGTGTTTGCAAGGGATTTTAAGGGATTCTCTTTAGACTGCAGTAGCTGTAGCCAATATATTATTAAATAAATCTCTAAACTGACTTTGTTTGTGGACCGCTCTCTGTCCTTTTCAGCATCTACAATCCTTTAAGCCCACATTGCTGATGTATACTGTGTTGTCGTTTATCCAGGGATTGAGAAGAAATATGAGTGTGCCAACTTCGGCGAGCAGGGTATCACGTTGGGCTGCTGGGACACGTACAGACACGACATCGACTGTCAGTGGGTGGACATCACTGACGTAAAGCCTGGAGATTACATATTCCAGGTGATCTTTCTTCTTGCTGTGTTTTTCTGGCTTTAGGCTCCCTGCAAATGAGGTGTCTCAAAAATAAGCTGTATTTTTGTATCTGAATTACACCTTGTTCTAATAGCAAGCGAAGCGAGCGACAGCAACACAACCAGAACGCTTCCGTTGTAAAGTTAGCTGTCTACACCAGGCATGAGTCTGGGAATGATGTGCCATGATCTGAAGTGCAACAGAAAAAAATTTGAAACTAATCCATGAGATGAAGGAAAGAAGGGAGATGACCTTTCTTCTAAATTTTAGAATAGAAAATGAACCTCAGTTTTGCAAAGAATGGTATATTTAGCTGCAGTAGCAACTCAGGTTAACAAATAAATGTTATAAATGTTAGCAAGGTAAGTTTGTTAATCAAACAACCTTTTACCTGTGATTTCAGGTATTTATCATTACTGTTTTACCACCCAGGCCCAATCTGCATGCCTCTTGGTTTTGTCCCAGTTGCAGGAATCTGAGGCCTGCCAAACCTCTTACAGCAGTGGGCACCAAAAGCCCTCCTGAAGATCCAATTTCCTGCAGAGTTTATTTCCAACCTGTATCTATACTGTTGCATCTTATCCAGCCAATAATGGACTTCTGTAGAACTTAATTAGCTGGAACAGCTGGGGCAGGTTATGCGTGTAATTGAATCCCACAGGAAGGTAGATCTACTGGAGCAGGGTTGGTGACCACTGCCTCAAAGCAGGGTACTCCACCAATAGGCCGCTGACCACAAGCGGGCTGTGAAGAAACTGCTTGAAGGTGCCAATACTGATGGGTCCATAGTGGGCCGGTAATGGCCCAAAGGATAAATGATATTGATACAAGTCATGCAACAATGGCCCACAAAGCAGCTTTGTCTGTTTTTTTCCCTTGCCTCTAGAAAGAAAATAAAATTCCCCAAAATTTCATAAAACATTGAAGCATTTCACTTATTTTGCAGTTCCACGTGATTTAAAGTATAAAACAAGCTTACGTTAGCCTAATCTGTTGATATTTTATGTTCAGTGATACACATCACATATTGTTGCACCCAACATTGCTGTATTGAAAATTTCTCAAAAATTAATTTTAAACCAAAATGTTTTTATGGACTAGTAATAAACAGGTGGTCCTTGAGGAGGAATAGTTTGAGTACCCCTTCCTTAGAGTATCCTGATTAATACTGTAATGTGACAGCACAAAGCAGATACAAACTCAATTTCCTTATTTCAATTATCTGATAAATATAGACCTGAGACTCCAATGTGAACATGTTTATATGGTTTACCATCTGAAGAAGTTTAACTTGTCTCTTACAGATTGTCATTAACCCCAACTACGAGGTAGCCGAGTCAGATTATAGCAACAACGTTGTGAAATGCAAGAGTCGATATGATGGTCATCGTATATGGATGTACAACTGCCATATAGGTAAGACACATTGCTTCACTTTAGTTAGTGTAATTAGGGTAGATAACTTCATTAGATAATATTACTAGCTACAGTCACGGCAGAAAATGCACAAGCATAATGGCGCCACATGAGCAAAGGAGTTAGACAAGGCTGCCCACTATCACCATTATTGTTTAACCTGTATGCTGAACATATAATATGAGAGGCAGACCTGGAGGAAGATTATTGGGCATTCAAGATTGGTGGAAGAAACAACAATAACCTCGGATATTCTGATGACACGACACACATAATGGAAAATCAGGAAGCTCTGAAGACCCTTTGGAACGTTAAAGAACCGAGTGAAAAGATGGAATGTCAGCCCAATATAAAGAAAACAAAGGTTTTTGGGAAAGGTGGCTAACTTTACCATTGATGGTGAAGATGTAGAAGTGATGGACAGCGTTTGCTTTGAAAAATTATTAACAACAATGGACTCAGCAGCCAAGAAATATGACACAGTTTGGCACTCGGCAGAACAAGAATGAAGGAGCTTGAAAAGATCTTGAAATGTATTGTGTCTCTAGAGATCACTTGTCTAGAATTGTTCAGGCTCTGGTCTTTTCTGTAGTTCTTTGGTTGAATTTAAAACTAAACAACAACAACAAAAAAAAAACACTGGTATTGGTGAGCACTTTCAAAAGTGGGCAGCAAAGAAAACAAATGGATTCTGGACCGAATCAAGCCTCTCTTCGTACTCTAAGCCCAGAAAAATGAACTGAAGTTCTTATTCTGGGCATATGATGAGAACAACCAATTCACTGGAAAAGACAGTTATGCCTGGAACAGTTGAAGATATAAGAGGAAGGGGATGACCAGCAACAAGATGCATGGACAAAATTATCATGAAGAAGCCTTTAATAAGTCTGAAGACCCCAAGAGAAGACGGGACATTGCTGAGAAACACTATCCAAAAGGTTGGCAGGAGTCAACTTGGCTTGATGGCACTTTTTGGCCACCCACTTTCTGCAGCATCCTCCCACTTTTTGCACAATCCTCCATCAAAGCATATGCCTGAGGGACAAAATAATTTATTTTTCCATGCGCATCACCCATAAACTGTGCGTTAAGAGGCTAATGTGCCAGTTTTCTACTAGACACATGGGCAGAATGCATCCAATTTGCATCTAAAACTGGCAGAAAAGGTTTAGCATCATTCTAAAATTCCAAAATCAGTGCAGTTGAATCACTTTCACATTAATGCATCGGAGCATTTTTATACTTTAACTCTAAACACACCCAAAACATTTTGGAATGGACAGAGAACTTCTTATATACTGGTGCCCTTCTATTTGTTCTCTCCACAGGAGGATCGATCGGTGGCGAAACAGAGGAGACATTCCCTGGCCTGCTGAATAACCAGGTGACCCACAGGTAAGCGACGGGGGCTTTCATGGGACAGCAGAGATGCCATCAATCCCAACCACTACAACTCCAGAGAGCACTCAGCATCAACACACCAGCATAAAACCTCCAGTACCACAAATGCAATCAGCTCAGGATGCCTCAAAAACCCACCTCAACAAGAATGGCTGAAAACCCCCCACTCAAAAACTGACCCAGATAAAGATGCTCCAGAAGCAACCTCGACACAACTGGCATAGGATGACCAGAAATAACCAACTGTTGTTGGCCCCACAACACCCTCCACCAATTAGTGAAATATATTAGTGTAGTTCTTACGGAAGAACTTTCGGTACAACGTTTGAGAGACAAGTTCGCTTGATGCTGAACCCCTAAACTCAGTCAACTAAGACTTACCAGCTCATCTGCCGCCAGTGTTGGAGATGCAACTGTGGATTTTTAAGGGAATTCTGATGCACTTTTTTGTAGCCTAAAGGAACTCAATGTTCATTCTGCGAGTGCAGAGAATTGAGAGGACTTCTGAAAATTCATCTGAAAGGAGCACTATCTGGAATCTATATTAAGAAAGAATTTGTTGCCTGAGCATATATTGTGAAGTACTACAGTACTAAGACTGACGCCTTGCCAGTAAATATTTTTTTAGTGTCTTATGATTCTATATCAACACAATCTTGGGGCTGGTTGCACCAACATGGCAAACAGCACAATCCAGTGGCCAGTTGTAAGCGTAATGGGTTGTAACTTTCTAAGCCTAAATGGGAGACTGTAGCTCCAATTGGCCATAAAATAAATTTTCACAAAAACCAGACATGAAATATACGCAGTGCTAGTTATTCGGAAATGGCTTTCCTGGTTCATCGAGAAGGTAATTAGTGATTGAAGCAATTGGGTATCAGAGCTAATTGAGATCTTCAGAGAAAGAATTTGACAGTGCCTAGGTTTCCATCCACTATTTTTTGCATATTTTGGCATAATTGATTAAAAAAGACTTGAATAAAATCAGCAAACACTGCACACAGATGTTTGTCCGTTCACTTCACTTGGGTATATATTTTGCCAATAAAAAAGAAATGGTATAAATTATAATGGAACCACATTTGCTCAATAAATAATGTAATGATCCATGTTTCTCAGAAGGGTTTATACAGACATAACATTGACATTTTTTTTCCATAGCAACAAGTAACAAGTAATAGGTACATATATAGCAACGAGCACTCTTGCTTAGAAATGCTATTGTTTTTACATGGAGTGATCTTATGCCTGGCCACAATTGCAACAGGTGTACAGTCCTTTCTAAAAAATCAGTGAGCACTTAAGATCATCTTGGTTAAGACCTGTTGGTGAAACCAGCCCCTGGAGCATTAGAGAAATAAAACACATTGTAATTTAAGTTTGATAAATGCATTTGAATCAACAGAGGTCTTGAGGTTTGAATCACCATTTAGGACTTTGTAGCCACAGGTCTATCCACCATGAAGTCTGCATTCATGCAGTGGATCTGGAACTGACCGCAGCTTATCTAACCTGCGTGTCTCAATGAATGAGAAATACATTTACATTTGAGAATAGACTCATATAGATGGGTGACATATTAAAGGAAGATAGGAAGAAAAGAGGGGAGAACGTGCAAATGTTTCCAGACACGTATAGAGCGTGATGTGGCATATAAAACAATGCTGACCAGATCCAGGTCATCTCGAGGAGCTTCAGTCACAAAGACTGCTCAACTGGCTATTGTTTTAATAATGACTAAAATGACCTCTGCAGTTAGATCTACAGGAAATACATCAGCTGGAAATTGCACATCCAGTGATCCAGTGAATGTGGTGCTTGTGCTTTAGTGCAATACATTAGAGCAGCTGTTCCTCAGGTGACTAAGATCATCAGTGCAAGACGTGACCAGACTCAGCAAGAACAGTCTGTCCACTACCACTTAGAGAGGGATATGATAGTGGTCCACAGAGATGTGGAAACTGGGAGAGTGGATTAGTAGCGAACATCAAGAGAACACTACAGGCCTGAATGCTTGACCCCTGTCTTGAGGGTGTCCTGTACTGGGATGGTTTGGGTCCACTTCTCACCTTAGAGCAAGGGGTCACTGCAAATCTTCTGTATGCTATGACGGAACATTTCTATCCTGGTCTCTTCCAGTATTACAATGTCCCCATCCACAGAGTACAAATGGTTTCATGAGTATGAAAAAGATGTAAATCATGTGCTATGACCTTCACAGTCACCAGATCTTGACCAGGTCGAACACCTATGGGAGGCGTGTTAGCACGCATTCTCCACCACCATCATCAAAACACCAACGAACTGGACGGAAAATTATGTTACTTTTTCCTTTAATTCATCACCTGTCTGTCCATTTGACTTACAATCCATCTTCCTCATCACTCGGTTAGCATAGCATGTTCAGACCACATTGTCACCTAGAAAAGGCGGCCATAAACTTGCCGATTTTTGATGAGAATTAAAGCAATTACTAGCAAGTGACACTAGTGTAGCATTCCAAAGGAATCATCATGCAGAACTGGACCCTGAGTGCTTTCAGAAGAACAAACTGGACACTGCCAACAAAACATTCCTCTAGCAATCACGCTGAAAACATCCAGTCCTATAATCTATCTAGTTTTTGTTTCCTTTAATTTCATTGTTACCTTATTTCTTTTACTGTTAATCTGCCTATGACAACTCTAATAACAGCTAATATACACCTTCTACTTACTGCATTTAAGGTCATATCAAGGATTTGAATTTGCTAGAACGATTGTAGCTTCAATTAGTAACTTATTTTAAGTCAGGGACTTCAACACTTCTTCTTTTTTCTTCTTTTTTGGTTCAGAATGTCTTTTTATGATGTTGATTCTGTTCCAACGGTGCTATCAAAGATATATCCTCTGTTTTTAGAGGGTACACATCATGATGTGACTGATTAACCTTATGCTTACTTGAATGGAGCGTAAAATTCCATACTGTGCGTTTTTTTTGAATATTGTTTAGCAATAAATAAACGTAAGCATTCAGCAACAAGAACATGTTTGTCTGTGTGATTGTTTGCAGTTTTCTCTCTGTTCATGACTTTATTTGTGGAAGTGGACTGTGGTGCAGACAATGGTACACCCCCTTTAAACACTGTCCCCAAATCCCTCAAATGCCTGCTCTTTTAATATGAGGTGTACAGTCAAGGTTCATTCATTCAGTTTCAGAAAGGTCTTATGTGCTTGAAGCACAAAATCGATTCAGTGAAACCACTTTAAATACTTTGAAGACATTAAGAGAACAGAGATTTGGCTTGCTTGCCAACAGGAGATGGTAAAAGTTTAGCAAGCCTGGCCAGCTGTGTAAAACTTGGTATTTGAAACACAAAAATTGGTGGTCTGTCCATTGATGTCCGTAATAATCCATTTTTATGCAACGGGGATTCCAGCTGCATATCGCTGCTATCGGATCAAAACCTCGTATCTCCAAAATAGTAACCTTACAGGAGAAAGAAAAAACATACTTTACTTTTAATGTAAGTCAATGGAACCAGACATCTTTTCATGTCATTTTGGTCCTTTTATCATAAAAATTTCCACACAATGTAAAGAGCAACAGGCATTTTCAAAATATGTCAAAAACTGAAAAATGGAGATAGGAGGTTTTGTTTTGACAGCAGCGATATGCAAATAACAGACTTACTCCATCAGTGGCTTGTTGAAATAGCTGCGAAAGCTCATACTATCGCTCAATGGTCAGCATGCGTATTTATATATTTTTAACATTATTACTGTAAAGGCTGTTCTTTTTGCTTATTCTTTAGAACTAAAGACTGCACATTGCTTAGCTCTACAGGTCTAGGCCCTCGTCTTTCTTTGAACATAGCTTATATTACAATCATGAAGCTAATGACAGAGTTGTCCATCGAATAGTGTCAACGAGCGCACCATCGTCCCCAATTTCAGGCTCCACCTTCACATGGTGTTGGATTGGTTTAGAAATTTTAATATTTGTTTCCACCCCAACAAGTCTACGTTCCTGCCAAAATTTAGCGCAAAAACACTCATGGTTTCCCCAGACGGGTATTCTCGGTATGAGATTGCCTACATAGTGACTTCATGAGGCATAAATAAGCATTGAATAAGCTAATTTTTAAAAGCAATACAATTACAATGGCCTTGTAATGCACTGGCTGCTTATAACTGCGTTATTAAGTCAGAGCTCGGATGAATTAAGCAACACTTTTATTTGTGTATTATACATTCAAGTCTTTTGCACAACTGAGGTGTCCATTTGGATGCGCTTATTTTGACTTATCAAGCTAATCACTGTAAACTATCTTATAAAGCCAATACAGACGAATAAATTGACTGGCCATTACTACTTTATAAAGCAGTAACTACAGTGAATTAAGCTTCTTTCCAAAGCACTTGTATTGCTCTTATTATACATTATTGAGACTGAGTCCAGACTGAGGCCAAGAATGGTTCAGCCTAGTTACTGTTTAACAGTGTAATAACAATCAACCAGTTAATTATCAACTACTGTTTGAGGTTAAGGCTTAATAGGCACATTCTAAGGGTATTAAAATGTCCCCCAAAACTGAAGCATATGTAAATAATGTATCATTCACAATACATATCTGTTCAAACTAAAATGATATGGGACAATATGTTTGAAAATGATCAGTTTAATTAGGACATAACAGGGTTATAAGTGGTCTGACACTTTAGTCTAAGGGCCCTTATGCCAATACAATGTAATTTACTTCATACATAATCTGCAAATACTAACATATGTTGCTTATAAATACTCAAGTATTGCTTTTTAAATGTTATGCAAAGCTTATGCATGTGTCATTAAGTCCCTAAGTAGGTAACCTTCACATAAAGTGTTACCAAACTTTCTGTAGATTATGGTCAGCCTAGTGTGGCTTACAAATCAATGTGGACCACATGAGGGCGCTGTTGTTCCAAAATGAAGAGAATCCACCACTTTTTTGGTGTCCTGAGAAACAAGGTTAGGTAAAAGAGAGCTGTAAGACTTTTAGCTGTTGCAATCTGAGAGACTTGTACTCATGCACTGTCCCTTGTTTCTTCAAGCCCCTACCAAGATTCTGAGCCTTTGAGGAAATTCTTAGTGCTTGTGTTTCCGAACCCTGGCGGCAGTCCAGCACGTTCCTCCACTGGCTGCTACTTCAGACCAGCAGGTTTACATTCCATACAGGTCAGTGTATACGTTGGGCAGGAACAGCAATACGTGAAGATGGATGTCCGCATGCACTCTGCTCCTTTAGGCCCACGTTTGCTTATTCAAGCGGACTGTGCTCTCCAGGTGATTTATGGCCATCAACCTGCTCTCCCTCTAACGAAGCCTCGGTGCGATTTCAACTTGGTTTTACAAACATAAATGCCCGAGGCTCTCTCTCTTCTTGGATCGCTTTCCCAGCAGCTCCTAGGTTTCCCGCTTGTTATCAGCGGCCGAACTACTGAAACAATCCAGGCAACTACGAAAAAAAGTTTTATTTGTAGCATGTTTTAAATTTTAAGATGATGTTGGCTACGTGAGTGCATGCTTGGCTTAGCTAGGATGAGATCCGAGATATGATATGTGGTGACGGTGAAAATCTGGGAAGAAAAACCAGCGTCCTCCTGCCAATTCATCTTTCGGGGATGTTTCAGATGCTTGAGGTCTGTCTCAATCTGAAAAGGATGTTGAGCAGATTTCTCTAATGGCCTTGGAGAGAATGGTGCACTTCTACAAGCCAGTGATATATATGGTGTTAAGCAAATATAGCTACCTAAGGCCTAATGACCAATATCATTGCTAAAGGCCATTCAAACTGATTGGAAAAAGTTCTAGACACATGAATTTGTTACATATATACATAGCAAACACTCAAGTTCAGGTTCAGCTCATTAGACCAGTGGAAAATGAAAGTCTGAAAATGAAGAATGTTAAAATAATTACTTATTTTGTCAAATTTGATTTCAAAATGTTAAGAAATAGTACATAGCATGGTAAATTGGCCACCCCCACCAGTGCAAAGTGTCTGTAGATTGTTGGTAATTAGTGCCACCCTTAGTAAATCTGCCCAATATGCCAAAAGTACCCAGACAACCCTTCTAATTAGCTACTTTAGGTCACTAAGTAGCTACTAAGGTCACCTGTTCCCAACACACACATTCACTCACAGTTTGTATAATCTGCATAGACAATACTGACCAGTAGAATGGGACAGTAAGGTCACCTTGCCCAATGCCAAGCATGGGCTTGGGGGTATAATATATATATATTGGCGGTGGAGCAGTGGAGCTGTGTTCTCTGGAGTGATGGAGCTCCATCCAATACCTTTGGGATGAGCTGGATCAAGAACTGATCTTCCAACATCAGTACCTGACCTCGCTGATGCTCTTGTGGCTGAAGGCAATCAAGCCCTCACAGCAATGTTCCGATATCAGTTGTAAGGCCTTCCCAGAAAAGTAGCAAAGCGGGGACAAACTCATTTGTTTCCCGAAAAGCAGAACAAGCCTTTGGACATACAGTAAAATTACCTGTAATTTTATAGATTACGCTACAGAAGCATTCAAAAGTCTGGCTCCAGTAACAACAACTGTTCTTAGTTCATGTGCTATGAAAAAGTCATACCATTCAATTATATTATTATTTAATTAATGTAAACTTTCAGACTCTATTGTTTTAACAGTAATACACAGCACTCAACCAAAATTCTTGATGGATCACGGAGGTTGGATGTTTATGCTGTAAAAGCATTAAGAGGTCATAACAGCTCAGCTGGAATCTTACCCTGACCAACACTGCCCGCCACAGTTACAGTTGTTTATAAAGCAGCCCCACCGCCAGAGTGTTCCTGCTCAAAATCATAGAAGCCCTACAAAAATATAATAAACAGACAGCCAGACTATGATTGTACTGCGATTGCGTGGCCGTTTTGGAGTGCAACCCACCAGAGTAGCTCCAGCAGGGATTAGCTGGAATTAGTGGACGGTCTATAATTGTTATCTAAATAAAAACCAGACAACGTTCAACTACTGAATGTTCAAATACTGTTCAACAGCTCAGGACGTGTCATAATTGCTGGGGTCCATTACTTAGCTTCCACACCCTCAGAAATAAAGGTAGTGAACTGTCTCTGGGGCAGTACCCCTCTTGTCACTGGGGTGGTACCCTCAAGGGTACATCTCAGTACCTTTAGTCAGGGAACATAATTGTACCATAATCCATTGACATTATAAATATTTTCCAAGTTGTATTGACAAATCTGCAAATACCGTCTCCTCTCCAGGCTTTTTGTTTTATTGTTCTGTTTTAAAACATTAGATTATGAAAAGGTACAAGATACATACTTTTCACCTGGGAAGAACTTATTGAAGGTGCACAATTGGACCTTAAGACCACTGTTGTACCTTTGAGGATACATTTATTTAACCTTTATTTCTTACAGTGCATTACTTCTTAGCTGTTTACAGGTTACATTATGCTAATCTGGTGACTATAAGCTTCCATTACTTGTTAGCTACATTAGCCTTGTAGCTCCAGTGCTAAACTAAAGAAGCAAACTTCAAATGTCGCATGTCTTAGCAGATCTGTCTTTTGAACAGAATTTAAGAACGTGCATACGTGCATCCTCTCTAGATTGCAAATCTGCTGTGCACCATGTTCTCAGCTCTGCGTTTCTTAAAACCGTGCCTGCCAACGTTTGCATGCCTTCCTCAGCCGTGAGCTTTAAATCGGCTGGGAAACCAAGTGAGAAGGAGCAGATTTCATTCCAGATGTGTTCAGGGAAGAACAGAACAGATATTACAGTGGAAGTGAAACATTCAGCGTTGCGCCAGCCAGTGACTGCCAGCAGTCAGTCAAAAGGCTGCTGACAGGCCATTCTTTAATGGTGTCTTTTATTACCTTTGCGACTCCCTGTCTGAGCTGATTTCTGCTAAAGGACAGACAAAACTATTTTCAAGCAAAATATTTCCCATTAAGGAACGCAGAAGTTCTGAAGTCATGCCAGACCTTCTGTTTCTTTCTCAGGCTCT